TTTTTTTTTTTCTTTCTAAGTATGATTTCTATTTGAATAGTAATACGAATTAGTTAAAAATAGATTTCGTTTTATGATTATGTTAAATATATATGACGGAATAATAATTATACATGCGACGAAAAAAGAATACCCTAATTACGTTTTTTTGTTTCTTATCAAAACTATTTGATCTTTCTTGTTTTGATGAAATTTTTTTCACTGTAAAATATTGACATAGTATGGTTAAATTAAATTGATGTCGTTTGATTTGAAATTGAATGAAAAGAAGAAAATAAGCGTAATACACATCATCGATTATTTTTATCATATGTAATAAATGATTATTTCGATTTATGTACTTATTTAAAATGAATAGTCGGTCAGTTTTAAATGAAAATTTAATTTAAGATTATTATTTTTATTTCATAGTGAATAAATTTGATTGTTAATGAACAGCTATTTTTCATAGTTGGACATGGTGTAAAAATTGATTTTTAATGTTAATTTTTATAATTAACTTGTGATGAATTATTGAACAATGTCCTTTGCGTGACATTTTATAGTTGAAATTTATGAGCATGATTTTTATTCGCTTAGATTATTTTAACCTTTTAAATCTAGACAGTGTCATCTGTTTTTTTTTTGTTCATATAATCAATTTAAAAGACAGTTTTCTATAAGAATCAATGAATTATTATGAATATTTAGATAGATTGTTTATGTACAAAAAATAAGTCTTATTTTTTATTTAGATAATTCATTTATAGTGCGGAATGTTTTATATTTTTCATGAAATATTTACAATCGGCAATGGTTTTCGACACTTCATCACCATCGGATAGTTCATCATCAACCGATCGAGTTCTTTCACTCGATTGCATGTTTGATTCATCACATTCATCTGCCATCGAGCTTCCATTATCTGATGAACGTGAATTATCACAAATTGAAGCCGTAAATAAACAACAACAACAACAACAACATCATCATCAACAACAACAACAACCATCAAAATGGAAAATGATGTCAAAACGTCGACAAAGTTGTACAAATGATATGTATGTAACAGCCAGTCGTTATCATCGATCAAAACCAACGGCAACATTAAATAATTTATCGTCATTAGATGAAACATTAACATCAGTGCCGTCATTTTTTTTCTACCTATGATAAGTTTCATAATAAATTATCTACTGATGATATGAAATATTTTCCAAATCAATCGGCTTTAATAACAACACGTCGTTCAACAACTGATTGTAATAATTTAACAAATATTCATCGACAAACATTAGAACAAACAAATAATACATTATTAACAATTGTCGATGAAGAATCAAGAGATTCAATTTGGTTAACTTCAGGTAAGAAAAAAAAAATCGAGATAAAATTTGAATTCGACTAGAAATAAATTCATACAATCAAATTCTTTACTAAAGGTAGAATCAAATGGAAAAAAACTGTAATCGTAGTGGTCGATCATGTCGATAAGCGGTATAAATATAGATGTACACATTATAATCTAACAAAAAAAAACAATTGTCTATATCGGATTCAACAACCGAGCGTACTTGCGATTGTAAAGGCAAAGAGCGTAACAAAAAAAATAGGAGTTTTTTGTTCGACAAGATGCCATTCAAAACGAGACGATTGTGAATATGAGTGAATAAATTAAAATGTTTTGTCTTGTAAATTGTTTAGTAATATGAAAAGATATTGTTGAATAAAAGAAACATAGTTATTCTATTCACATTTGAATTATTTTGATGATATAAATTTATCTCTAGTCGAATTCTAATCTTACTGTATACATATTTAATTCTCTATTGATTTTTATATATTTCATTGAATTTATTCTTTATCTTAACTATAAATCTTTTGATTTCCCGAAAAGTTTTTCTTTTCGAGTATATTTATTATTTGCTAAAATATCTCAATATATTCTTGAATAGAACCTTTATTCTTCTATTTATTTTTTCATCTTACTTATTTAAGATATTGAATGTAAAGTTTTTACAACAAGTACAAAAAATTTCATTGTTCATAAATTCGAAAAAATAGTTAAAATTTCATCAGTAAAAGTCAATTTTCTCTTACAGTTCAAATCAATTTTGTCAGTATCTAACTTTGATGACCAAAGTTTATAAAATTTTTGGTCAAGATACGAAAGAAATTAAATGGAAGGTTACAACCGAATTTGAGCGTCAATGTTTCACCCTCCATAGGCTTCACTTTCAATAAATTAGGAAGATCGAGCATGAAATTCTGCGAATTTATTTGTCTTTTTTTTAGCCGCATGCAAAAAAAAAATTTCTCGAAAATTAAATTACTCTTATAAGATCTGTCACTTTTGAATGTTTGAAATCATAATTTTTTCGTTTGGCAAATTCAATATGAAAGCTAATAGTATTTTTTCATGCTGTACAAAATGGCATAATGACTATGCTTATTGCTTATTTTATGTATGGTCACATGATGGGATATCACACCTGTATAACCTTCTATAAAGCAAACAATAAACATAATTATCATGTTATTTTTGTAGAACATAAAATGAATTACGATGACCTATAGTATTAGTTTTCTTATTGAGTTTACAAAATAAAAAATTATCATTACCATAGTTATAAAAAAAAAAGTCTTAAATCTCTTAAGACTAAATAGTTTTAAAAAGTCTATTTTGTATTTGACAAAAAAAAAATGAATAAACATAAATGCATAGAATTTTATGCTTGATCTTTCCCACTGAGAATAAGTGCTTTTAATCATTAAAAGAGATATTTTTTACCATCAATTTATTTCAAGTGATGATTTTTCATTTTCTCCTCTTGAGTGCTTCTACACAACTCACACAACTCCTCATCCATATTCACCATTTTGTTTTCAGGGGTCAAACAAACTAATGTATGATCACGGCAATTAGTGTGTAATGAAGGTAATGAGTAAATGCAGTGCGTGTATAAAAAAAGAGTATCTTTTTTTTTACGCGATCGAAAATACTGTCACTCTTTCTAACTGATTCAAAATGAAACATCAGCGGGTAGCACATTTACGCTCTAATCCGTCGGTTTCCATTATATACTGAGATAGATTTATAAATGTCTCTATTCAATATTATATTAAACTAAAAAATCTATGAAATTCTATTGAAATATAGAAAAAGAAAAAAAGAAACATGTTTTTGATTTATTTAGATGATCATCATTTATTAGTACCTGCATCAAGATCTTCACATGATTCTACACCATCTTTATCTATGTTTTATTCTGATCCATCAATGACATCATGTTCATTGGTTTCGTCTTTCAATTCAAATTCGAACAGTAATGATCTTCACGAATCATCATCATCATCATCATCACAATATTCATCATCTGTATCATTCTTTAATGATCTATCTGAAACACCCAAAACTCTTTCATTATCATCATCATCTGGTTATGAATCAAATATTCCGACATCAAATTTATCAATAAATTCAATACCTGATCATTTATTTCTTTCATCACCAGATTCAATCATGATGCCTCCACCACCATTACCAATATCATCTCAAAAACTTCCAATTAATTCTGATCGTAATCTTGTTGAACAATTTATTGATTTACATTTACAAAAACAAACATCATTTGATCAAGATGTTGTTTATTCACCTCCATCATCACTTAGTTCATCATCAAGTTCATTTCTATCTCAAACACCAATATCAACTATGAATTCACCTATTTGTTGTCGTAAATGTGTAAATAATGATGA